TTTTATAAATCTTTTCTTTGAGTTTATAATTAATTTAGTATGTAATGCTTTTAAATCATTTCCAATATACAGTAGAGCGAAACTATTATATGAACGGTTCTAGAAAAAATATCACATTTTGTGAGCCCAAGGTAAATTGATTACTTGTGAAATTCATATATATATATGAAATACATTTTAAATTCATATATATATATTTAAAATTTAGACGAGGAGACAAGCAAATGGATACGAGTGTTGATATTATATAATGAAATACATGTTAAACACTGTGTCTGCCGACATTATTGATTCTTGGGATCAAGTATATTTTATGTCATGGAATGTTTATAATATATATAACATATTAATGTTTAAGTTTACTATTATATTTCAAATCACACAATATTAAATTTTCTTCAGTTTTTTATGTAGACGTTTAACAACATGACACATTTCTCCCCTGATGACTTAAAAGAGATCGTTAGGCATTGAGCGTTTATTTTCAATGCGCTACTTAAAAAGGGTGCTAATGTATGACTTTGACTTTGATGTTTGTAAATATTTTGACTTAATTTGATGTTTGTAATATATGATAATGGTGTATACATATATGTTTGTAAATAATATTTTTGGTTTTGATGTAAAAAATATTTAGGTAATATATGTATAAAATACAGGTACAAAAAATACAGGTTTGTAATATATGAAATAATTAAATAAAATAAAATAAAAAACAAAGTATTTTACTACGGTTATTTACAATAATTGTTGTGACAGGTAACATACCAATTATATATTGCACAATGGTTGTTTACTATAATCGTTATAATAGATAGAGTGCTACCTAGTTTATCACAACGGTCACACACCCGTGGTGGAAAACAACATACTTACAATCACACCCTACCTCACACTGGTTGGTCAACCATGATGGTACCATTTTACCAACTATTCTAAAATGTGTTTTTCCTAGTAGCGTACTGAAATATAGAGTGGTGTACACAAATAGATTCAACACCAATTTAAAGTGGAATACAAGAAACAAAAACCCTTTGTTCTCAAGCTTATAGAATTAATATCTTGGAACAGATCCTTACAACTCAACAAAGAAACCAATCTATATGCCTTAAGATATGAGTAGAGACGCTAGAGTGGTGCACAACAATACTCAAACAAAAACTTAAAAATTGAAATCCTAACACAAAGAGTCTTCAAAATGTGCACACCTCAAACTCTAGGTTTGAGTCTCCTGAAATAGCAATGATTATTCTAAGCTTTTTCCAATGAGCATGATTTGACTTCGTCAAGAATAAATGCAAATGTTGTTGGATATGATTTGTTCCATAAAAATCTCCAACAAAAGATATGATTTGTTTTTAATTCAAATTCAAATTTAAATCTCCATTTAACTTAATTTGATCTTAACAACTGTCAAAAAAATCACAAACACATTTCTAAAATATAGGAATAAATCTGATTGAATCTCAACCATAATTTTGCTCCAAAAATGCAACAACATTGGTATGTCGAGTTAGGGTACATCCAATTAAATATTCTTTGATTGAAACAAATCCAAATATTTTCCAATAGATTTTGGATTAACTTCTTCCCAAAAGCAAACTTCTTTATCATCTGAAGAATTCAACACCGCAGCTCTTCTGAAGGACATCTGAAGATAATCAGAACTCAAACTTCATGTCAAGATGATACATACTCACATGTTGAACCTCTTACTTAACTAGTTCTGTCAAGCATTTTAGTTACATCTTGGAACCTCTTATTTAACTAGTTTTGTCAAGCACTTTACCTTAATAACTCTTACTTAACTGATTTTGTTAAGCACTTTAGCTTAATAACTATTTCGTGCAACAAACTCAGATACTGTAATATCTTGTTCCACACGTTGTCTAAAATACATCTTGTACATATATTGTTTGACCTAATGCAGCCAAACAAAAGAAAATACATAAAATACTATTTTAATATTTTTAAATTTATTCTAAAGAGCTAAAAACTAAATAATTTAATAGTAAAAAAATAAAGATATATATTTAAAATAAACAAATATTTTTCTATCAAATTACATTTTTTTTATTGTAATGAAAAGACAAAACAACAATTATCTATAAAAGAATTGGTCGTTTAGTTGAGGAGAAGAAATAGATGTATCTTAAATTAATTATTACAAAAGATATTATGTGTTTGTCTACTTTTAAAATATTATGATAAATGAGACGACATAGAGTTTACAAAATCACCCATTTAATCATAATTTTTAAGCAACTAGTACAAATAATAATTTTCATTGTATCACATATAAATATATGCATAATGTGAAAATTAAATAATTTCTTCACTATTTTTTCATTCATCATGGTTTTGTCTCATTGCATTTTTTCCTTTCATCATGATTTTTTCTCCGATTTTTTTATATTAGTTTTTTAATGAGACACATTCTCAATGGAAATTCAAGGGGAGTTTTATAAATTGACGACAGTCCGTCATTGCATGAAAATTGGCAAAGAATCGGAGAAAAACAAGTAAAAGATGAGCCAAAAGGAAGAAGAAAGACCCATTAATGAGAAAAAAATAGTTAAGTATGAAAGAATGAGACTTAGTGAAAATTCAAGTGAAAAAAGGGTGCTTTTTGGTGCAACTATTGGAATAATCACACGCATAATCGGGCACGCGATATAGATGGTTACATCGTGCGCGCAATACATCTAAAATGCGCAATGGGCACTTTTTTTTTGGGGATTTTACTGACGCATTTTGAGCCTTTTTAAGGGGATTTTCAGCATTTTATCAAGGCTTTCAAAAATTGGAGAGCAAAATACGATTTTGAGAGCACCAAAAGTGATTTTTAAGGCATTTGAAGCCATTGAAGGTCATTACTTCAAGGTAATTCATATGTTATTTTCATCTATCAATTGCGGTATTGTTTTTTGAATAATGAGTAGCTAAACTCCTCTAGGTTAGGTTGTGTTATGATGAACCTTATTGAATCATGTTGGATTATATGTTGATTTGACTTTGTATGAATCCTTTGAGTTATAATTTTATTCAGTTGCTTATCGTTCTTAATACTTTTTATTTGAGATACTTTGTTAATCTTATATTGGACACATATGGATTACTAAGCCTTAACTTATGTGTTGAACTTAGGACAATTGTTCTCCTTACGCTGGTTGAATATGAATAAGATATCCTGAGTAGTGGAATAGAGAATTAACATTATGTGCATCGTCTAGTTCTACTTACGCTGGTGGATTAGGGATAAGAAGCTCAAAATAGTGATTAGTGAGTTATTTTGTAAGAGATCGGTTATAACGACTTTGTTAATTCGCCGTTAGATTATAAGGATAAGATCATTCATACAAGACATTATATATTAACAAGAGAGAATAAGGGGATTCGATACACAATCTGACCGTCTTACTATTTCTATTTAAAACTCTTATTTTATTTTTTGCTCTAAAATAAGAACCCCTTATTTATTATTTTCTTTACTTTGAACAAATATTGTCTTGTTCGAATACATTTTCCGTGAATTCAATATTTTATTACTGCGATATTATTAGTACACTCCTAAATTCGATATTTCATCATAAATAATATTTAATATTGACGTAGATGTCTATTTTTCAGTGTTTTAAAAATCGGACCGGACCGGCCGGTCGGACCGGGAACCGGCCTAGTAACCAACCTGGTTTACTAGTTCGATCGTCTGTGTCATCAAATCGGTAAAAACCGGGTTGGACCGGGAAAAACCGGGTTTAGAGTTGGACCGGTTCTAATGCATTTTTTATTTTTAATTAAAATTTAAATGCAAAAATTATAAAAATTAAAAAAAATGTTTAAAATTAGATTATATTGCAATTATTTTGTAATTTTGTATTATTTTGTTATGTGTGATACATTTGTTTAAAATTTGAATTTAAATTATGAACTTGTGAATTTATGATATGATATTTTCAAAAAATTTAAGTACTAGTTATATTTTTTTAAAAACTGAATCATCCGGTTCGACCTGTTTTATATCTATATAATAACAGGTCTATTCAACCGAGTTATCCGATTAATCCGGTTTAGTCATGCGGTTCGACAAGTGATCCAGTGGTTCGACCGATAAACCAGTAACCCAATACCCTCATCGATTTGATGACCGGTCCAATTTTTAAAACACTCCTATTTTCTTACCCTTTGTAATTTCCCTAACTTCTATGAATAAACTTTAATTATTAGTATTTAGTGACATGTCTCTATAGTTAATGTCCTATATATGATCCATGTTACAATGTAAAGCAGAATTGAAATAGTACTATATACTCTTTTATTTTATCTTCTCTTCCTCTCCATTAGCTCTCTCTCCTATTCTACTTCATTACTTTTGATTAATTTCACAACAATTATCCTTTTAAGCAATTTTTGATTAATTTCATTATAATTATCCTTTTAATCATATATATATATATATATATATATATATATATATATATATATATATATATATATATATATATATATATATATATATATATATATATATATATATATATATATATATATATATAAAACTTGTGTATTTGTCATCCATCTTTTAAAATGAGATTTTGTTCAATGTTTTTTTAAGTAACTAACTTATTAAATTAAAAGGAGGATATAATTAAATATATAATAATAGGATAAATGATTCTTTTTATAGAAAAATACTCATATTTTGAACGAAAACTAAATCAATAAATACTATAAAAAATGAAAGATAAAATATTTTTCCCCTTTTAGTCTGATAAATATATTCTATAAATAGTTAATAAAAGATAAAATTAATGCATTTCTAACAACTCTTCCCCTATCCAACTCGTTTATGTCGCAATTCCGAATATTTTGCGCACACTCTAATCACGCATATATTTATATCTCTTCTCATTTCTCTCATTCTTTGTGTGTTGTTTGGACAACACACATTAAGAGATTAAGAGAGACAAAAGAAGAAAGACATAAACATCAAATGTGTCATGAATTCTATCAATAACTATCGAGAATTAAAATCACTCTCTATGATTCGATTGCAAGAGAGTATCATATTGCTTCTCTCACATTGGTATGCTCTTCAAATGGCCATCAAGAACCAATGGGGTGGTTGTGATTCCCTTCATAAATCACACGAACTTGCTTCTAATTTATTCTCTTGGCTCTCCAAATCCAATGGTTGTGTTGTTGACTAATATTTATGTTTCAATTTTTATTAATCAATATTTATTTGGTTATATGTAATTTTATTTTTATTAATTTCAGAACCAATTTGTGTGGAAGATTTAGAAAATATACTCCATGAATTCATGTTGCTTACATTCAATACAGAGATAGAAGATGGTAGCATTGAACAGGTATATACACAAACATTAGATTTTCTTTAACATTTTACATTTTTAATTCACCAATTTTATATGTGTGTTAAAGTTTTCAATCATCGAAATTAATTATACATGTCATCTCAAATTTTACACATGAAATTTGTCTAAAATACGTGATATATATATATATATATATATATATATATATATATATATATATATATATATATATATATATATATATATATATATATATATATATATATATATATATATATATATATATATATATATATATATATATATATATATATATATATATATATATATATATATATATATATATATATATATGTTTGAAATTGATTAATAAATATTAAAAATGACATATGTTTAAGAACACATTAACTTGATTTTTTTGTCTCTAGATTTATAAGTAGGGTATAATATTATTATTAACATATCAAACTTCTTTAATTTTTGATAGTATGCATTTATTTATATATATATATATATATATATATATATATATATATATATATATATATATATATATATATATATATATATATATATATATATATATATATATATATATATATATATATATATATATATATATATATATATATATATATATATATATATATATATATCACCAAGGTTTTCATGTTTTTTATAGATAAAAGTTAGTTGTTACAATATTATGTTAGTAGTCATTAGTAAGGGTAATTTAAATTATGAATCTTATTCTCTAATTCAACCACTTAAACTAGTCCTTAATATTTTATGTTATCATATTAATTAATATTTTTTGAATTCTACTAATGTATTTTAGTGATGTTAATTACAAGGTAGCCGAACAATTGATAGTTATCCATGAAGATTGTTTGTTACGCCACTCATCTTAATGCATTTATAAAGGAAGTTTAGTCAGAAAATAATTAACATTTCATTAAGGTTGTTCCGGTAAGACATATTAGTTTGAAATTCTCTTCCTCTCTTACTTTATAGTCTTATATGTTACGAGGAATCTAATTTATTTATTTATTTATATTTTTTTTTTTACAGTGGAGGATTGTTTGGAGGATTTGAGTAAATCCACGTTATATCTGTTTTAAAATGTAAGGAAAAAATATTTTTTTTCTCAATATAAGAAAGAAAAAGTTAATTTTCATCTTTTTAAAGGTAAATTTAAATGCAAATTGCATTTAATTTACTATCTCTCATCTTTTTAATAACCATCAATCCATTAGAATAGATTTTACATCTTTTAAAATAATATATTTTAAGAAAGAGCGGATTCATGGAGAAATCTTAGAATAATCTGCAAGCAGTCAAACTAGCGCATCACTTGCTTGGGAAGATATGAATACATAAGAGATCACCCACATGCCTCCATCTAGAGTATGGGTAGAAGCAAACGCCATCTGGTGCCATACAATCAATAGAGACTATGAATGACTTGATCCACATTCTCCGTGTACGGAAAAAAAAGCGACTGCATATGGCCAGTCCTCATCATAGGCAGGTGCAGCTTCTCACCCGGTGATGCGAGGGAAGTGGGAGATGATTCATCCCTATAAATGGTTCAGATACAATATTAATAACAAATGTAATAAATGAATTATGAAAATATTAGTAACAATAAATTATCCTAAGAAGCGTGCATCTCCCTGTCATCTGCTTTGTCTTCCAAAGAAAACTCCCACTCATCTTTGAGTACAAGTAAACCAAACAGGCAGCCCCTCAGTTGTACTCATGAATCACAGTCAGACCAGTGAAGTACTTAAGATAAACCACATCGACATAGGTTGCACTTTTTCCCACAAACATGGTTGTGAAGTATACGCACCATCAAATGAGCTATTAGTAACTCATGGCCCCATGGTCCTTACTGCAGCCCTCTCACGCTGTTTCGGTGCAGATTGGGAGACACGCTTAAGACTAATTTGACCAGTGTTGTTTTCATCCATTGCACCTGAGTTAGAAGCAGAGAGAGATATTCATGCATAGCTCCATTTGTAAACTAAACCCGCAAACAATACCTGAAAAACAACAATAATAATGGGGTGAGATGATAATCTCAGTGAGTTCCCCTATCTTATGGGTTCACTCGGCTCTACAAGGTTCTAATCAAAAGGGAAAGGAATAAGTCTTGAGTTCACATAATTCGCAATGTATGGAAACATGCCACTTGAGTCCATCAACTCAAACAATCACTAGCTCGGAAACCTTACCAAAGCATATTTCCCCAGCCAACTCTACGTCTAGAGTTATCGACACGGGTCACGGATCCTTGTAATATAGATATCTTTCCCGGGCCAACCTACACAAGAGTTCTCGACACAGGTCACAAATATCTATCTCATAGGTAACTTGCCCTGGCCAACCCACACAAGAGTTCTCGACATGGGCCACAAATACCTATCTAATAAGTAACTTTCCCTGACCAACCTGTCGCTACTGCGAAAATCGACGCCGGCTGAACAGAAGAGTCGCCACCGTGCGTTATTTATCCCAACGGAGGGAAAGGAAACGCTCGAAGTAAACCTCGCGAAAAAGGGAAAGGTATGGTCATCGCAACCAAAACCTGGGTTCGGGAGTCGGTTACGCAAGGGGAAGGTATTAGGCACCCCTCACGTCCATCGTACTCGATGGGATCCACGCTTGCTTGGTTTGTACGGATTACACTTCTATCTAAACTAAAGGATGAGGTCTGAAAAGAAAAGAAAATTTGACTCGGCAAAGCATCGCACTTTATGCCTACGTATTCCCGTCTGGAACGAGAAATCAGAGTCAACGTAGTTCGCCTAACTACAGGGGAAGGCGGGTGAAGGTTGCTCGCTAGGATATCGCATCCTATGCCTACGTACTTCCACACGGCATGGAAGATCAGAGCAAACGTAGTTCGGGCTACGCCCGACACAAGCTGTTCAAGTGTTTTTTATGAAAAATCTCACCTTAAACAAGGGTTTTCTTATTGCAAAAAGGTTGATGTCTGTTCAAATCTTTTAACGGAAGAAATGAATTAATCTCTGTTATAACCTTTATTAATATTTTTCTGTTGTTTTGAAGGAAGAAGAGATGACACTCTACAAATCCTAGGGTTAAAAGGGAATAAAATCTACCCTAATGTTATCATGCATGGGTTAACTCCTAATGTCTATCACATCCTCCCTTGAACAAGGAAGAATGGAAGTCCTACGGGAAAGGAAACGAAAGGAAGAAACGGAAATACAAGTAATAACCGCATACAAGTGAACATGAATATAGCAATGGTAAATGCAATGCAAAGGAGGGAGGAAGGTTCATCTCAACCTCAAGCCCATTCATGGATGGAATAAGAAAATATCAAGTGATCATATGCAAAGAATCGAGTGAAAACTCCGAATGAAACGCGCAATCCACTATTTGGAATCGCAACGTGCTATCATGCAAACAAGTCGATAATCGGGCAAGCTACACATACAAATAACAGCCACCTAAGGGTCTTCCAATACCTCTAACCTATCTACAATAAGAAATATAAGTCACGGCGTTCATCACGCAAACACAAAGCGGCCGTTGGAGCCTTAACAAAAATAAAGTCCGTTCGGAAGTCCAAATTACAAGTTTGAATACAAAACATAAGAAAAATAGCAAAAGGTGCTAAAAAATTCAAATAAAAATCTCCAATTCCCTACATCAAGCCACAAACCAGGGGTGAGAGATACCACAAAAATATCCAAAGATAAATGGTCAAACAAGATGAAAACATTGCAAGATATCTCATGTATACCAAAGGAAAGATTAAAGTGGAGCATGTTAAAGAAAGCATCCAAAACCAATTAAAATGGTACAATAAAATTCCCACAAAAATATATCACAATACCTCAACGTGTAAATGAGATCCCTGCAAAAGGATTGACATTTAAATTGTGTTTTGATAGGTCAAAGAAATTCAACAAAATGATAGCACCAGCATTGTCCTTTTTATGACGACCCAAATGTAAAAAATCCAAAGAAAATGTCAAAAAATGGTAAAATTATAATTCCAGTTTTATTAAATCCTAGACATCTTAAAGATTCAGCACAAAAAATGGGGATCAAAAAGACTAATTTTCCTATTTTTATGATTATTTGAAGTCAGCATATAAAACAGAAAAATAAAAGAACATATGGAATAGCATGAACACATGAGAAAACAAGAGAAATAGTGAGAATAAATAAAAGTGGCAGGGGGAGGGATCGAATCCACGTTCTCCCAGCCCCCTGTACGAGCCAAAACGACGTAGTTTTGGTCTGGGACACGTGGCATAGCGCCTGGCCCTTGGATGGGTGGAAAAAGTCCACTTTTCTGCATTGATCCGATGGCTACTGCTTGTCTTCTCCACTTGGATGAAAAATGAGAGAGAAAATGCAGCATTTGAAGCTTGTGGCGGCCGGAAATGGGAGCATGGTGGCCGGAAAAGTTCCCAAGCTCCTAAAATACTCATTTCTTGTCCAAATGGGACGTTCTTTAGATGAATCTTGTGGGATTTTTCGAGAGGAATCCAAATATACCATTATTTTCCCTTGAAATGGCCTCTAACTCAAAAACCGTATATGAATCTCAAACTTTCAAGAACACCAAATTGTTGTAAAAACTCTTCTTTCTTTACCAGAAACCATCTACTACCCAAGGGGATGTTGAATATGTAACAATGGTGTAAAAAGAATGCATAATTAGTGAGTAATGTTGATTTTTCGATACCTTTGAAAATCGAGTTGTGGAGCTTCAATGGAGCACGAATTCTTCTAGAAAATTATGTAGAATCACTCAACAATACTTGGTGAATATGTTTGAAGCCTTGACAAGTCTTGAATTGATGAAAAAGTGAAAATTGGAATTTGAGTTTTCACCACTTTTTCATGTTACTACAAGGTTCCTCTTGCTCCAATTCTCTCAAAAAAAATGATGAACCATCTCTATAATTGTTGTGTAATTGATTGGTGAAGAGAAAAAGTATGGAAAGTGAGAGAAAAAAAAGATTGAAAAAAATTCCAAAATGTGAAAGTGTGGGAAAAATGGAAAAAATGGTGAAGAGAAAAAAATTCAATATGATTTGCAAATGGATTCAACATCAACTATCACCAACCTTTACTCTTAATGATCTCAATCCAATATATAGATGATGATTAACAAACTTAGAGGTTTCTAGAATAATCTTGGAGGATTCTAGAAAGTTGTGGAAATTTCATGAACTTCTCATGCCATGATACTTTGAATATCTCTTATCTCATGCTTGCACCTTTCCAAACTTATGTCAAAATCTCCTTACATGAGATATGGGAAGTGCATGTAAGCTCCTTGCCTTGAAAATTCATCTTGTGCCAAGTTTTCTATACTTGCCTTATTATGCAAGTAACAAAAATACAAAGCAAGTCCAATTTTTAAACCCTAACTCAAAAAAGTGGCTGAACCAATGTCTTTAAAATGATGTTTGAAATCAATTTGGTATATTGGATGACCTATATTGTATTTGTAGATCTCTCAAACCAATTTTTAACTTGAACTTTTTCAACTTATAAGCCATTTTCAAGTCATTTGCACCACTTTTAAAATTCCATGCTCTAAGCTTTTTCAAGCTTTCACACCTTCTTTTCTAGCCTTAAAATCCCATTTTGAACAACTTTTATGTTGTGAAGTTTTTCATCTGAAGCTCCCTTGTATGAGTTTTAGGCATATGCTAAGAATGACCTGTAATCCTCAAATGACCAAAATACCCTTAGCTTGCCAAGACCATAAGTAGAGTTCCACAAATCATATGAAGGCATACTATACCATTCTAGAAAGCTAAGACAATAAGGAACAGTTCTCATGTTGTCCAGAAATCCATTTGAAGTACCCTTGAAAGTAAAAAATTGCTTGGAATACAGACAATTTTCA